TCGTTAAGTGATCAACCGGATTAGCTAAAAGGTCATCTGTTAGTTAAAAAGGCTAGCTATAATTCGAGATCCATGAGATTAGTTAAAGGATTAGCTGCAACTAGTTAGAGATCGACCGGATTAGCTAAAAGGTTGCCTGTAATGTGGAGTTAGCTAACGGCAAATTGAGATTAACGAGATTAACTCAAAGACTATCTGCACTTTGAGACCTTGAACAGATTGTCGAAAGAACAGGCTAGAAGAGGTCAGCTACATTTTGAAATCGATCAGTCAAACGACCAGCTGCAATCTGGAATTAGCCAAAGGGGCTAGCTGCAATTTGAGGTCGATCAGATTACCAAAACAAACTAGCTACGATTTAATATCAGTAACAGGATTAGTTAAAAGACTAACCGCAATCTGAGCTTGGTGAAGTGAGAAAGCTAGAGTTTGAAATCGATCAAATTAACTTAAAGCCTAGATGCAATCGTTAAGAGATCAACCGGATTAGCTAAAAGGTTGTCTATTAGTTAAAAAGGCTAGCAACAATTTGAGATCAGTAAGATTAGTTAAAGGATTAGCTGCAATAGTTAGAGATCGATCGGATTAGCTAGAAGGTTGCCTGTAATGTAGGGTTAGCTAACTGCACTTTGAGACCTTGAGCAGATTAGCGAAAGAATAGGCTAGAAGAGGTCAGCTACATTTTGAAATCGATCAGTCAAACGTCCAGCTGCAATCTGGAATTATCCAAAGGGGCTAGCTGCAATTTGAGGTAGACCATTAGCTAAATGCTGAACTATTAGGTTAGTTAGAGAGACTAGCAATGGTTAGAGATCCGGGCTAGCTATTAGCTGCGATGTGGGTTTAGTTAAAGGGGCTAGTTGCAAATTAAGATCGACTATATTAGGTAGCTATAATCTAGGGCAGTTAAGGGTTACCTACAATTTGAGATCGATCAGGTGAGTTGAGGACTAATATAGAATACGGGGAAAAATGGATGGTTCAAAGCCGTTACAACTTCAAACATAGGGTCAATTGAGATTTCTTAGATCAGGTGAAAGGCTACATATCTTCGTTGCTTTGGATGATGATTTAGAAATTATAGAATACTTGTCATATAACATCTGTGGAATTACCCAAGTGACAGCGTCATAACACTTGTCATAAGCACTCGCAAACATTTTTCTACATCTCTGTGCAGCCTTAGTGAATTGATTCTGGCACCTCATCTCTATCTTCTTCATATACATTTTTTTCAAACTTCTCAGCTTCGGCTTGTTCACCCACCGTTTCATACTTTTGATTCATCAGTTCAGATCTTTTCGTATCGCCTGTTAGATAAACCTAGCTTTAAACGAAATATACTGGAATCATCTAGTGTTTATCAAAAAGTCTGTTGACTGCCAAAACGACAGGAAAAGGAAGGTTTGGAGCTGAATTTGAATATGATCATGGAGATATATAAAAGTACAGAATACATTTTGAGATGGACTCATTGTCCAATGAGTTGGAAAAAATCCTCATCATTTTAGTTTCCCCATTCTTACCTACAAGTTCGTCAATATAATCGTTCTCCTCTTTCATCTTTCTGACTTCCTTCTCATCTTCTATTTCACCGATAACAGGCGCAGAGACGTCTTTGATAGACTTCACAGTATCTTTGATCTCGTCTACGCCAGTCTTCATACCAAATATCGCTTGCGTGAACGGTTTAAACATGAGTTCAAACCTGGTTTTGGTCAGATTGAACGTCAACGACGTGGTGCATGCGAAAACACGTACAACTTCTTTGCCGTTGTTTCCTAGGTTTTCTACGGGACCAGCGATGATGAAAGTGATCACAACGGCTTTAGGACACCTCTGCCGACCTGTCAAGGCATCGGAATACGATGAAAAGTCGAAAGAAGGAGACAATTCTAAAGAGCGTAGAATACAGTAGGCGAGACGAAAATTTCCCTTCTTTTTATAATATCGTAAGTTAGATACCTTTTATTGTTTTCCTGTAATTGTTCAGGTACAAAAGTAATAATGAATTTTGTACAACAATTTAATACAGGTAATATCACAGAAACCGATTTCTGTTGGTGTACCGCAAGGTAGCAATCTAGTACCTCTCTTATTAATTTTATACATTAATGACATTTGTGATATTTGCAGATGATACATGAATCGAAAAACAAATTTCATAGAAAATGTAATAGTTCTTACTGATCTTGGTACTTACCTTGCCTCCTATTGTGGGGTATGTGAGGCTAATAATGCACCGAATCTGCGACGACGAGGCAATACCAAACCCCAGCATGAGGCATACGGTAGATCCGACGATAAAACCGACCTCTTCAGTAAAATTGAGATCAATTAAGATAAAATTGTAGAAGGCAATACCCAACAAAATGCCGTATACGAACCAACGATGATTTTCAGTTTTTTGTGGGATTGCTTCTCTGTGCAGAATAAGCTGAAGAGTAGAGGACATTTTTTGAAGATCTTTCTGAGGAGCTTGCATTCGTCTGAGGCTGCCATTCTGACAGCTTGAGATTTCAGGTTAGGGAGTTTATCAAGTTGACAAACATCATCTCAGCAAGAAATAATACAGTACGAAAACCAGTTCCTTTTGATGAAAAATAACGTTTAAGCAGGTACGTGGGTCATTTTTTGAGAAGTACTCTATTCAACAGTATGGCAAGTTACAAACGGCAACCTTGTTCGGTTATCTTGATTAACAGAAGAAGCACCTATGATATTTTTTTGAGTTTCTGCTTTAAAAGTTGGTCATCAGTGCAGATAATTTTGTCGATTTTGAATTTGCACTTTTCGAAGACGTGTCCCTGATGATTTCTAAGTCCATAAATTTTACTTCCTTATCCATATACGAGTAGACATACAGGGTGTCCCAGAACTCGACGTCAAGCCGAAACCGGGCAAAGTCATAACAGCTATCAGAAAAATATTTAAAAAATTTATGTATGTGTTTTGAAAATTATAGGTCTTTGAAAAAAATATAGAAATTTCACACCCTACGGCAGTCTGTCAACTCTTGTTACTACAAATATTAACTTTTTTTGGATTTTATTTTTACAATGTAATGATGAATAATGCATCTTCAAACTGGTGTCTCAACCTTACTGCCAACTTTTCTCGTTCAGGAAAAATTGCCACTTATTTCCCAACCAAGTATTCCAAAGTAAAACTTTGCTCAACTTTAACTGGCTGTACTGGAAAAAATGTACTACGAGAGTTTGGCAAGTAACCTTAAAAGTTGGCGCATTTAATAAGGATTCCAAAATGGTATAACACTTAGAAGATTACTCGTTAACTTATGCACAATTTTTATTTGAAGAAATTTTTCTAAATTTCCTAATTAAACAGCGATTATGAAAACGCACAAGGACCCTTAAGGATAACTGTTTGCACAACAGTGGGCGTCAAAATGCTGCTGATGATGATTTACCTTTACAGCAAATGCTCAAACTGTTTTCCTTCAGCCGCAATACACGCTCGACATCTTCTTAAGAAAGATCGGGTTATTAAACGAGAGAATCCACGGTTATTAACAAACTCAGCTGCTTCCAATAGTCTTTGCCGTAGCTCAGCTACATTTTAAATATGCTTGAAACACACTTTTTCTTTTACAGTTCCCCAGTAAAAAAAATCTAACGGATTCAAATCTGGTGACCGGCCTAGCCACGGTATTGTACCAGACCGCCCTATCCATCTGCCTGGAAAGTTTTGATCGAGATACTCTCTCACTGAGAGTGCATAGTGGGCAGCTTACATGCTGAAACCACATGTCCCTGTAAATACTCAGTGGCACGTCCTCCAATAAATTTTCTAAATGATTTTGCAAAAAACCTAAATAAACCTCAGCAGTCAAAGTCTCTGGGAACTCAAACGGACCGATTATTTTACCATTTAAAATTCCTGTCCAATGGTTTATCTTGAAGCGATATTGAGATTTATCTTCTCTCATCAAATGTGGGTTTGCTACGTGCCACTCATGTAAGTTATGCAGGTTCATGTACCCATCTTTCTTAACCGTGGTCTCATCTGACCATAAATTTTTTCAAAGAACCGTGGATCTTCCCTGTGTCTTTCTAACATTGTGCGACAAAAAGCAACTCGGGGCTCATAATCCCGGGGCAGAAGAGCTTGATCACGCTGTACGTGGTATGGATGGAGCACGTTTTTTTGCAAGATTCTATGGGCTGTACTTTTGGGCACACCTGTTTTTAGTTCTATTGCACGCACTGAAGTACTCGGGTCTTCTTCGACAGCTCCTAGCACCACGTCTTCGTAAGGAAGGAAATATCTTCCCTCACCGTGTGATTGGTTTGGTAGTTGGCCTTCTGAGAACAGTAATCGGTGCACATTTGTGAACACTCGATGATCTGGATGACGAGCTGCATTCGGGTACCTCTCACAGTAAAGTCTCGCTGCAGCAGTAGCGTTGCACCTGCATTCCCCATAAATGAGGTGCATGTTAGCATATTCTTGTACGGTGTACACGGACATAGCGGCACTGCACAATCACACTATCAAAGATAGTCTAAGGAAAGCAAATGTTGTTTTGAAGAGCAATTAAACAGTCCAAATCCAAATCACAAGCGATCAACAGTCCAGTTCACGAATCCAAAATTAGTAACAGTACGAAATCAACAAGCACGAACATGTAAAGATGCGCAGTAAACGAAGGAGTACTGGTCGGTATCAAAGTGTGCAATAACAAGTAAGTGATGTGCTTCATCCATACCACACACAGCGTGTTCAACCTCTCCTGCCCCGGGATTATGAGCCCCGAGTTGCTTTTTGTCGGACAATGTTAGAAAGACATAGGAAAGATCCACAGTTCTTTGAAAAAATTTTATGGTCGGATGAGACCACATTTAAGAAAGATGGGTACATGAACCTGCATAACTACACGAGTGGCACGTAGCAAACCCACATTAGATGAGAGAAGATAAATCTCAATATCGCTTCAAGATAAACCGTTGGACAGGAATTTTCAGTAGTAAAATAATCGGTCCGTTTGAGTTCCCAGAGGCTTTGACTGCGGAAGTTTATTTGGATTTTTTGAAAAATCATGTACAAAATTTATTGGAGGACGTGCCACTGAGTATTTACAGGGGCATGTGGTTTCAGCATGATGGCTGCCCAGCGCACTGTGCACTCTCAGTGAGAGAGTATCTCGATCAAAACTTTCCAGACAGATGGATAAGGCGGTCTGGTACAATACCGTGGCCAGGTCGATCACCTGATTTGAATCCTTTAGATTTTTTTACTGGGGAACTGTAAAAGAAAAAGTGTATTTCAAGCCGATTCAAAATGTAGCTGAGCTACGGCAAAGACTATTGGAAGCAGCTGAGTTTGTTAATAACCGTGGATTCGCTCGTTTAATAACCCGATCTTTTTTAAGAAGATGTCGAGCGTGTATTGCGGCTGAAGGAAAACAGTTTGAGCATTTTCTGTAAAGGTAAATCATCATCAGCAGCATTTTGACGCCCACTGTTGTGCAAACAGTTATCCTTAAGGGCCCTTGTGCGTTTTCATAATCGCTGTTTAATTAGGAAATTTAGAAAAATTTCTTCAAATAAAAATTGTGCATAAGTTAACGAGTAATCTTCTAAGTGTTATACCATTTTGGAATCCTTATTAAATGCGCCAACTTTTAAGGTTACTTGCCAAACTCTCGTAGTACATTTTTTTCCAGTACAGCCAGTTAAAGTTGAGCAAAGTTTTACTTTGGAATACTTGGTTGGGAAATAAGTGGCAATTTTTCCTGAACGAGAAAAGTTGGCAGTAAGGTTGAGACACCAGTTTGAAGATGCATTATTCAACATTACATTGTAAAAATAAAATCCATAAAAAGTTAATATTTGTAGTAACAGGAGTTGACAGACTGCCGTAGGGTGTGAAATTTCTATATTTTTTCAAAGACCTATAATTTTCAAAATACATACATAAAATTATATTTTTCTGATAGCTGTTATGACTTTGCCTATCACCCGGTTTCGGCTTGACGTCGACTTCTGGGACACCCTGTAGATCCACACAGTCTAGAATCTCAGCGTGGACAAAATTGTAGATACTAACACCCGACGTTTGAAATAAATAATCTTCTTTTTGGACAAAAAGGTATTGCTGATTGTTTTTATATGGCTTTTTGTATTTGAAGCAGCCATTATTATTATTACCGATTCGATTTTTTCATTCACCTATTTTCAGGCCTTTTGACTTGTTTTTTCAATTATTTATATATCATGTCAGAGTTTTTCCATTCTTTATTCAATAAAATAGTCAAGGAGGTAGTCATATACATATACCAAAATGTAAAGGTCCAAGTTCAAGAAATATATTGCAATAACAATTCAAAGATCCAAAACTGTATAAATACAAAAATATTCTATTCTAAAAACGACTTGCTAGTAGCAGTGCTAAATAAATAGTGATGAATATGACACATCTTGTTTCAGTATAGACAGGTAGAAATATCATCTTTTAAAGATCCATATAAATACAGAACCATTTTACTCTAAAAACTGCCTGCTAGTTTCCATGGCTGTCAGTACCAAATAAATAGTGATGAATATGAGACATCCCGCTACAGTGCTTATCACGAACGTAGGGTTTTGCCTGAATACGACCAATAGGAAGACAGTTACAGCCAAGATGACGGTAGCCAGAAGTGGTACCAGTAGTACTGATGCCCAATCGGTGTTGCGCGCATCTGAAAAAAATTGATGTGTTTTACCATGGCTGATGGTAGAAGTGTAGGCGTTGCAGTTTCCAGTGATGCCGGCGACCTACCTTTGTCACTTTTCGTTCGCTAAGATGTAGAGTCAATCAATTGGACAAGAATTCTTAATATACGAGTACTATAAAGGGTTTTCCATTAAGGACTTGACAACTTTCTTTTTAAATAAAACGCAAACCATTTGAGGTATCTCGAAAATTTTATTATTGGATTGAAGTGTACTCAAAACACTTAAGTATGGAATTCGTCCTCGTATATATGTACACCACGGGCAACGAAAAAAAAAACAGCCCAATGACACCACCAGGATGAAAACCACACCACACAGTTATTTTTGTGGATGAAGCGGAGTTTCTTGAAGCGCGTGAGGCTTTTCACCTGACCAATAACGCATATTCTGTTTGTTGACGAAGCCGTTTTGCCAAAAATGCACTCTTAGATGATTTTGCGATGAAATTAGTCAGACTCAGAATTTCGGTAGTAAATTTTAATTATCTGTAAGCATGTACGTACTTCACCATGATGAAAATGTTCTCTTTACTGAATGTTCCGACACTGACAGTTCGGTAAGTGATTAAAGATGCGTTCACAGTGAAAGTTCAAAGTTGTCAAGTCCCTATTGGAAAACCTTATATACGAACGTCTCCTGCATTTACAAGAATTTGTTATATTTTTAATGCTTCTTTTATGCATCGCATGCATTTGATCTTAAAACAAGCATACACATGAATAATTATTTTTGCTTATGACCTTATATGAGTTATCCTCGTTT